TCATTGACAATACATTGCATACTTGTTTTCAATAACAAGTCATTATCTCGAAATGTGCGTATTAACATGCAAGCGCCAGGGTATAAATATTAGTGTTTATCATGTGGACAACAACAGCTAGAAGGGAATGTTAATATTGTATCTAGAAAGTGTGTTATTTGGACACATTTTGGCTGATACACGTGTTCGAACTATTGCGTTCTCTTTCATCGTATCGATACTTGGTAAATATGACTTCCACTAGGGGAAATCAAAAGAACAATGTAAGATAACCATTGTGAAAATTACATTAACTAAATATGAGGAACGGGCCATTAACTTACCTCTGACAGGTACGGGCCATTAACCTACCTCTGACAGGTACGGGCCATTAACTTACCTCTGACAGGTACGGGCCATTAACTTACCTCTGACAGGTACGGGCCATTAACCTACCTCTGACAGGTACGGGCCATTAACTTACCTCTGACAGGTACGGGCCATTAACCTACCTCTGACAGGTACGGGCCATTAACTTACCTCTGACAGGTACGGGCCATTAACCTACCTCTGACAGGTACGGGCCATTAACTTACCTCTGACAGGTACGGGCCATTAACTTACCTCTGACAGGTACGGGCCATTAACCTACCTCTGACAGGTACGGGCCATTAACTTACCTCTGACAGGTACGGACCATTAACTTACCCCTGACAGGTACAAACCATTAACTTACCTCTGACAGGTACGGGCCATTAACTTACTTCTGACAGGTACGGTCCATTAACTTACCTCTGACAGGTACGGACCATTAACTTACCCCTGACAGGTACGGGCCATAAACCTACCTTTGTTAGGTATGGGCCATTAACTTACCTCTGACAGGTACGGGCCGTTAACTTACCTCTGACAGGTACGGGCTCTTAACTTACCTCTGACAGGTACGGGCCCTTAACTTACCTCTGACAGGTACGTGTCATCATTTACTTATGTCTAACAAGTACATACCATTAACTTACCTCTGACAGGTACGTATCATTAACCTACCCCTGACAGGTACGTATCATTTATGTACCCCTGACAGGTGCGTATCATTTATATACCCCTGACAGGTACTTATCATTTATGTAGCTATGACAGGTACGTATCATTTATGTACCCCTGACAGGTACGTATCATTTATGTATTGATGACAGGTACGTATCATTTACGAACCTCTGACAAAAAACCCTTGATTAGTATTCAAAGCGTTTTTGGGTTGATGACATATGACTTAAATGATACCTTTCCTTGGTATTTTGTGTACCACAGCTATTACCGTTACTTTTCACACGTACTTCATGGTTAGAATGTGTGCTGTTTTGTAATTACATGCAGGTTTCCTTAGCAGTTAGCTCCAGAACACTGTATGTATAGTGCAGTAACCTAAAGTAATATTAATAAAAAAACATTAGCTCCCATGAAGGTAGGCAAGATCATACCGCCGACAGATGTCGCTATAAATCGGAAGCCACTCGTAGTATAGTACCATTCACTATATCAGAAAACATTAGGCAATTAAAACTTATTACAAAGAAGCCATCGTGAAGATTCCATGTTTATTTTGTAAATTGGTGAAATTAAGTATTTATTTTATTGTTGCAATAAAAAACCTAAATAAAAGGCAAGAGGCAAAAGAGACTGGAAAATAGTGTTTGATGATATTTTCTGGAGCTGGATGTAATTTCATTAAATACACTGTAAGAAGACTTGCGAGAGGGTAAAGTATAGGAAAATGCATTTAAATTCAGAACATATTTGATTGAAGACAGTAGCGTGCTGATGCGAAAATGGATGAAAAACTCAATTTTATTTTAGCTAATACAGTCATGAAGAATTATTGCTTTTTTTATATTTTAAAACATTTTCTTTTGCTTAATTAGAAGCTTTATAATTATTGGCTTGCAAATTTCATAGTGTTAGATATTTCTTTTTAACAGTTTGTTCATTGTCTATGTATATTTAATATCTAAACGGACGACCCTAGTGTATTCCTGATAAAATGCAATGTTATTTTGTATATATAGCGATGCCATGTCCAATTTACAAACCCGTCACTCCACATCAATGACCATTTATTAACAGTAGATTTAGCATTGAGTTAGACACTTAATACACAATTTCTATTTATATGTATATAGAAATAGATTCTCTATATTGACTTTGGCAGTATATTTCATTTTTTATGAATATAAATTGGAATAGTTTTACATTGACGTCGGTTTTCATTATTTATAAGTTCTCGTGAGATACAAAAAAAGAAAGATAATATGCTCTACAGACTACACGAATTAAATACAGTCTGTGCTTCATACACCAAAAACTACAGAGTAAGACACGTGTACTTGAGTCCCACGTGCAAAACAGTTGAAACAATAGTTCCACTGCTCCGTCAATGTCACGGTTTGGTTACACGTGTTCTGCTGATCTGAACAGAGGGTCCGAATTTAACTTTCTGTTTTCTATTACAGTCATTTGCTAAGTAGATTAACGTCGATATCAATAGTCATTCTCAAAAATATTCTCTTCTCAAGAAGATTTTTTTCCTCCCTAATTTGATCATTATATGTACAGCACGTATTTGTTAGATTTATCCGTCTAAACGATTGCCTTAATAAACATAGTTTTTGTAGTCTGGGGATATTACATGTATAGTGCATTAGGATTACGGTCGTGTTTGAAATCTGAACGCATGAAATGTGACTAAACTTCAATGAAAATATATATCTGATAAAACATCCTCTTTCTACATGCCACTTAACATTGTAAAGACGACCTTTATCATCTCAAGCATCCTAACATCATCTAACTTAAGTGCCAATACCTTTTCAGCAATGCAATTGTCTTTTTATTATTTTAACAGCCCACATTCCTTTACGTGTAACTATTTAAATCAAACATCCGTTGATTTGAAGTTTACTTATTGCTAATCTGTTCTCAAAGCGAACATGAATTTGTCAATTACATATATATTTGTGTTCTAGTTCTTATCTTACTTATGAACTACCTCCAACAAGCATAGCTTTGGTATGCAATGGAACACATTGGTGTTGGCTTTAGAAAGATAAATATTGAAAAGTAAATAGTTGGTAATTGCCAAAGAAAACTATCTGGGTTAGCGAACACAAGCAGTCTGTGTCAGCTAGGTCTGTAGAATCATACATTTGAGCTTGGAATTAGATACAAGGACCCATATAGAAACAGAAACCTTCACAAAGACGCTCCATATCAAGACAAATCTGAAAGCTAACGTATTCAAGCAAAAGTAATTTCATTACGAAAATGATTTATAATTCTAATGGATTGCAGGAAATAAACTCGTGTAATTAATGATCAATTAATGCACCTGCTACATATATTTTGTGATTGATTGGATTATTAAAAAAATATATATCAATTTGTGACATTAAATTATTAAACAAATGTTTACAACTTTGTGAGATTGAATTATTAAATAAATGTTTACCAATTCGTGAGATAGGATTATTAAATAGATGTATACCAATTTGTGAGATCGGATTATTAAATAAATGTATACCACTTTGTGAGATAGGGTTATTAAATAAATGTATACCACTTTGTGAGATAGGATTATTAAATAAATGTTTACCAATTCGTGAGATAGGATTATTAAATAAATGTTTACCAATTCGTGAGATAGGATTATTAAATAAATATATACATATTCTTGAAATTGGATTATTGAATAAATATATACCAATTTGTAAGATTGGATTAAGCGATGATTGTTTTAGCAAATCAGTAAAAGATTATGTAACATACATAATTAATATGTTGATACCTAGATTAATTAGAGACCTAGTGGAAATATCGTACACTCTCCCAATAATATACATCAAAAGAAAGCTCTATCTGTGAATCTGAATAATTCTCTTTTGATTGTCATTTTTTAACCTCATTGATTACCGAGCGTCCTTGAAATCTACATACTTATCTGATGTTAATTATGTTCCTTTATTGCAATAAGGCTGTCTACAGGATACATCTTTACTGAAACATTACATCACCACATTAAATTACATTAATTATCTCCGTTAATTAAAAGCATATACTTTTGGCAATGCAGTCCTGCAGTACTTTTGGTAGTTGATATTGGAATAAACCGGAACTATACACGGGAAACAGCATAAACAATCCGCTAACGTTGCAAAAATGTACTCGAAGGTTTGGAAGATATGGCCTTTTTCAAGCCGTTTGATATTTGCAGAACAATCCTTTCACACGGTTTGCCAGACTGTTTGTGTACTTAGCAGTTCGTATCGAAGTTAAGAGGAATGATTTGCTTCTGAATTAAACACGCATGAGCGATAACCGAGGCTTCAGAAACAAAGATTAGCTTCCGGGCTGACTAGAGAATAACTGTCACCTAACGACTGTTCATTTATATTCGTTTTGTTTTCGGGATGAATTAAAAGCATTAATGGTTGGAATTATTTTCCATAGTATACGGCGTCAACCATATTGAAAGGATGCGATGTGGTACCAACGGCCAACGTTGTCGTGTCTCATACAATTCATGTGACTACAACAACATTTCATGCATTTTGCATATGGAAGTATTGTACCGTCATATGCCGATTGCAATATAATGTAGTGTGTTGGACAATCATTCATTCTTTCATAACATGGATAAAACTGATAATTAATTCAATAAGCATGCGTTTAGTCAAATACAGCCATGCCTACCATTCATGAAACATGTATTATAATAGATCTATTGTCCACCGGCAGAATTTGAATAACAGGCTGCATATTGTGGTAAATAATATTAAGTCATAGTTGCTTTCACAACACAGTAGTATGATATTTTTTATTCGAATCTAATGTATTCTGCCTACAATTGGAAAACTCACTCCTTATAAATTGATCAGGTACATTTTTATAGTCCATTATGGCACCAAATTTCAGGCTATTTATCCTTCCTGATAAATGTTGTCTTACATCCACGGTGTTTGTTGTAGGTTGTGAAGATGCTGGTCATTGTCGTTGCCATGTTTGGTCTGTGTTGGCTGCCATTACATATATTTATCATAGTAACAGACTTCTATCCCGATGTACTCAACTACTCTTCCGCCGAGGACGAAAAGACCGTGCTTGGGATTTATCTCGGTTCTCATTGGCTTGCCATGTCGAACAGCTTTGCTAACCCAATCATTTATGGTTTTACAAATGAAAGTTTCAGGGTATGTATATAACATTTCACGTTTTGATTTATTTTTCAAAACAAACTTTCCAGAATGATCTTAAGATTGACTTTCCAAAATTGTTAAAATTTGTCAAAATTATGTTCATGCTGGTAACATATAGATCTCAAGGTTCGTTATTGGTATATAATGTGTCATCGACAATAGATATCCATTAAGCAATATTTCAAAGGATTAGATTTTTTTAATTGTTGAAAATTAATGTTTCTATCTCAAATTTTAGAAATACACGGGATAGTCTCATAGTTTTTGAGAAAATGACCTTTAATACCCATCAACTTCTTGTTCTGTATCAAACCGGAAGAACTTTTCAATAAAGCATTTTTCTGATTTTAGATCTATCTTTGATCGGAAGTTGTCTAGTCCGTAAAATGCTTGGATCGCTTGATTAATTTTATATCTAGATAAGTTCGATCGATGACTACCTAAGAAGCCTGCTTTAGTGATATGATAAAATCAGACAGCCGACATGGTGAAATTGAGTGTCTGCATTTGAAGACCTACAGAAGAAATTCTGATTTAATACCTTTGTAACGCTTTGTATGGTCCCTTTGATAAGAGTCATTATCACTGAAACCAGGGGAATATATGTCTATTCGGTATTCGGTTTTACAGAAAATATGACATTTTAGTTTTTTTGACGTCGATGATAAGCAGTTTATGCAGTTTACATGGAGTTTATGGAAGTTCAATATTTCACCTTACAAGATTTATGTTTCAAAATATGTTGACTTTTATCGTTACGATGTAAACATGTATTTAGTTTATATTCATAGTTACACAGGCTAATCATAGAGGTCGCACAGAGTTTGAAGTGTGATATAATTCAACGTTGTACTAGTCGTTCGAAGTTAATTAAAAGGTTGCTAGACATATCATTTTGGACAGAAAAAGTGTAAACAGAATGTCTTGAAAGTTCGATGTAAGTCTTACAGTCAGGGCACGAATTTATCACTAAATTATGAGATAAGTCAAACCGGAAATGTGATAATACATGTCAAAACGGCGATAGGAAACGTGTGATGAATAAAACATTTCGAAAGTCAATCAACTACGATCTTAATTTCATCGGTGTTTTGATTTTATTGTGTAGAGTTGCCAGTAATGTCAAGCACAATGCCATTCTTGTTACAATCCTTTGAGAGTTATATCAGTAATCAGTACCAGCCCGGGGATATTTTGATGCTAGTGCTAGGGAGATCTGTATTCCTTGTTCCGTTGTTTTGTAATCCAACTCAAGCTCATCTTGACATTAATTTAGGGCTAGCGCTAAGCAGCATATGAAAGTGTAGGCAGCTTATCTTCACTTTACTTCAATATTTGCGACATTATTGTATATTCATTAGTACGTTTGATCGAACAATGTTTTCGTGAATTCACTGTCGTCTCTAAAAATCAGGACGACTAAGCTGTTTTTGACTACATCTTTGATCAGTGTCTCTCCTTTCTTTCTCTCACCTAGGCCGACCTTTTAACCCTGTTCTACATGTGGTTTCCGTGCTGTCATTGTATAAAAGATGTACTCCGAAGAACAAACAGCCGTGTCACGCGAGACAGCGTCGTCTTTCGGCGACTTAGTACTTTACGAAGGAGCGAAGGAAACATTAACGATTTTAAAAGGAACAGGTTTCCAAAAAGAGTATGGAGCTCTTTAAGGCACGAGGACTTAAAAAAGAATCAAGTGATGTCTAGTAGAGAGAGAGCCGGGAGTCAGTGTAACGTCATTCTGAATTCACGACGCCACACTATTTGTAAAATAGTTGTTGACGTCATGGAGATATCAGAAATGGAGAATGCTTCCGTCATACATGAATCTAGCCAATAATTGAAAGCAGATGTGATTACATAAGAAAATGAAAAAAGGAATATAGATAATGATCTATATGTTATATATATTTGTTTATAATATATATTGTTTTTAATAAAATGTATACTTTTCGTTCTTCACAGAGTTGTTGGTGTTAATGTGTACAGAAGACCAGAGGACACAACATTTATAGATGATATGATGATATTGATGAATTTTCCATTCATGATGATTAACATGCACATTATATCGATCATTGAATGATAGGTGGCTTCTGAATTTATTCGATAGGAATAAAATCTGTGAAAATGTTAAAAGAAATTATTTCTGGTTTGGTTTTATAAAGCCGTCAGATTTGCAGGACTGAATTTTTCTAGATATTCTCATTCTAAAAGATATTCTACATAATATCTATATAATTTATATAATATGTTTTTTGGTAAAAGCACTAACTATTTTAAGTCATTTAGGTAACAAGTTTTCCATCTGTTATTGTTGGTTTGAATGAGGATTTAATTTTCTAAAAAAGATTCCAACATTTATCCTTTATTTAATCGTTGTCTCCTCACACCTCCAATCCTGAAATCTTTAAAATATATTGCTATCTATATAAACCTTGTAGCAAGCGTAGCTCGAGCACCCACTGCTGGGAGCCCTTTTGCAGCCCTAAATGTATCGTGTGCAAAGAAAAAAGAGGGAACAATGTATACATATACTATTAGTCATTAAGTTGTGACATGAGAGTGGAAGTCCCAGTAATACTTCGAGCCAATGGCGGACATAGCAACAAGTACTCTCGTTCACTCCGACGCTTATCGCTTCTTAATTATTGATGCAGCATGTGCAGACATGCAGACAACAAGCGTCGGGTTGAAAGAGATTAGCTTTCAGTATGTTCGAAAGATTAAACTAAGAAAAACTAAACATCGTGAGCTGCTGGTTAGGAACACAGTGATAACGTGAGGGAGGAAAAATTCCTTAAACATCAGCTTAACTAGATATTATCGCCAAATTTTGGTCACGTTTATACGATGCTCTCTTTACGTATTCATAATTACCCATAATTCATATTAGAATTTTATGAGTTTTCGTTTGATATGAGATTTTATGAAACGTGCCTTAGAAGTTTTCTTTTTTCCTTCATTTTGGGAATAAACATTAAAACTTCGAGACGAGTTTCATAAACAAAATTATATGAAAGAAAAACAAACTTCAGATACTCTTCATCACATAAATCAGAAATGTACTATTGAGTTTGAAAATGTTGAGGACGATTTTAAACAAATGAAGCCATCTTGTGCCATTTTCAATTCATGACGCGTTACACTATTGACGTACATACGTGGGTGAACAGACATATTGTGGCATAAACAGTATTCCCTTTAAACTAATCAATGTCTATCTGAAGTGATTTACCGTCAGAACAATATGTTTTTATTTCGATAAGAAAAACGTTTAAGCTTGTCCTATTTAAGTCATATAGGGTTACACTGTCAGGGTAGTAAACACACTACTACATACGACAATACGGAGCCCTCAGTAATAGACAAACTTACACTGAATGTAAAAAAACAAATATTTTTTTGATAAAAAACATTTTTTTTCGGACAAAAATGTCAGCCAAACATCAGGATGAGGAAAAATCTTTCTTATTGGTCGCGTTTAGCTAATAAATTATATCATACAACAAGTTAAACGAAAGTAAGTCTAAGCATAAGTTGATTTATCTCCAGATAAAATTGAGATGGTTAAAAACAGACTTATGATTACCCCGAAAACCTACATGTAAAATGCATGTAAATGCTTACAGATGACTAAATAGCAACACGATAATATGATAATGATTACTTAATATGCGTCCATTAAGAACTAATGCGTCCATGTAATCATCAAACGTCAAGTACAAAAATAACCTCTAATTTCCTTATGCTAAGTATTAACGATAGAATCAAGAACGTTCCAGTAATAAATTATTTATGACAGCTTAATTCATACCAAAATAACGGTACATGCATTTTACACGACCATTACAAGACACTATCGGAGGTGTATATCGAGATTACGTATAGTCTGTATAGGCACATACTGCTAGAGAACGATAGATACTGATCTAGGAACATCGTTAGGTCTAGTTGCCGACCATCTCGTCTAGACTATACTCATCATTCCTGCACGTGCATCATGCGTTTTGCCTTGTCACATTTCGCCATTGGATGACGCACATACTACGTTACTGTTGTAAGATATATATTCACTTCCTGTAATGTAATACATAAACGCATGCATATCACGTGTTTCCTAAACTAATGTGTCACTTGATGTTGAAAAAACACCGGATAATTGTGATCGTTACTGGTTTCCTAATGTTATGCTGATATCCTTTCCAGCTCAAGGTCCTTAACTGTACAATTAGTATGGATATCGGTCTAAATCTCTCTCACGTTGCACTTAAGTGTGATCGGTAAAACTGCCTTTACTTATGTTTTAACCCTGCCATGTTGTTTATCTAAACGAGAATTAGGTATTGTGCGACTGCATTATGGTATACATGTAGTTTCGCGATTACAATGCCCAACGGCATTATTAATTTTCATTTAACGCAGAACAGAGGTCATTTTCAGGCCATATTTGATATCTAGTATAAATTGATTTTAGCAAATGCCATATAAAATTATTTCAATTACTTAACTTCTCAATCTAAAGTTTGTGTGGTGTATCTCTCATTGGTTGTCCCTATGGCGAAAGGAGCCACACAAGAAACAATCTACGTATTATGTAAATATTTATTTTCATTAATTCGTTTATTGTTTTCATATGACGCCCTCCAAAGTCTCATTTCAGGTTGAATAAATAAACTCGTTCAATAAACTCAATATTGAATGAACATTCCATGTAATGTATTGCGTAACCAAACACGTCGCCCACTGTTTCTAAACTGACAGTTCTTCTCTAGAGACAAAACTGAGCCATTTACCGTCAGTTGAGACTTTATTTGCATAATTGATCCTTTAATGTACTGTAATGGGCGTTTAAGGATTCGTTATAAAAGACAAACTGTCCGAAGCTATATCAAATTGTCAACTTGAACGATGTACGAAATCGTCCAATAACAACCAATATTTAAAACAACATACAGTATAATACAGAAATAAACAGCTTAAAAAGTGACAATATTTAACACGACCACACAGAAACCAACCGTTTAAAGAGACAATATTTGATACGACAACAGAAACCAACAACTTGAAAGAGACAATCTTTAACACGACAAAACAAAAACCAATAGCCTAAAAAGAGACAATATTTAAAACGACAACGCAGAATCCAACAGCTTAAAAACGAGACAATATTTAACACAACACAGAAACCTGCAGTTTACAAAGAGACAATATTTAACACGACAACACAGAAACCTGCTGTTTACAAAGAGACAATATTTAACACGACAACACACAAACCAACAGCTTAGAAATAAACAGTATTTAAAAAGACAACACACAAACCAACAGCTTAAAAAGAGATATTATTTGATACGACAACACAGAAAACCAACAGCTTCAAAGAGACAATATTTGATATGACAACACAGAAACCAACAGCTTAAGAAGAGACAATATTTAACACAAAAAACACAGACAATTTAAATGGAGACAATATCTAACACGACAACAAAAACCAACAGTTTCATAAACAGAAACAATAAAGGGGCATGAAAACACAGAAATCAATGAGTAAAAATGAGACAATATACAAAGGTAACATGACAACAGAGAAATAATTAGCTTAGAGTTATACAACATGCAATATCCTGGATAAAAAGTACAACTACACGCGTCTGTACCAAAACATGCACAATTCCATCAGAATACTGATAATAATTATTTTGACTTAAATAGTTCACATTATATTATATTCCTAATGCTCATTTAAGATATAAACAAATCTAATGATATCGATAATATTTTGACAAATAAGCATCCAAAGAAAATTTTGTTAAGAAAACGTTTAGATGATTTAAAAACTATTAGCATTACATTTGAGCTATCACGTTTACTTAAAACACAAGCAGAGAGGGTGCTAGTGAACCATCTAGACTCTACAGGACACGTTTAATGTATGATCCATTGGTACCAGATGTTTGATCTGTTTCATCACACTTAAAGATATCTGAAACATTAACGATGTCTGAAGGGAAACATCCGAGAACTAAACATCAGGCATGTCTGAAGGGAAACATCCGGGAACTAATGATCAGGCATGTCTGAAGGGAAACATCCGAGAACTAAACATCAGGCATGTCTGAAGGGAAACATCCGATAATTAACTATCAGGCATGTCTGAAGGGAAACATCCGAACATTAACGATCAGGCATGTCTGAAGGGAAACATCCGAGAACTAAACATCAGGCATGTCTGAAGTGAAACATCCGGGAATTAAATATCAGGCATGTCTGAAGGGAAACATCCGAGAACTAAACATCAGGCATGTCTGAAGGGAAACATCCGAGAACTAAACATCAGGCATGTCTGAAGGGAAACATCCGAGAATTAACGATCAGGCATGTCTGAAGGGAAACATCCGATAACTAAACATCAGGCATGTCTGAAGGGAAACATCCGAGAACTAAACATCAGGCATGTCTGAAGGGAAACATCCGAGAACTAATGATCAGGCATGTCTGAAGGGAAACATCCGAGAACTAAACATCAGGCATGTCTGAAGGGAAACATCCGAGAACTAAACATCAGGCATGTCTGAAGGGAAACATCCGAGAACTAAACATCAGGCATGTCTGAAGGGAAACATCCGAGAACTAAACATCAGGCATGTCTGAAGGGAAACATCTGGGAACTAATGATCACGCATGTCTGAAGGGAAACATCCGAGAACTAAACATCAGGCATGTCTGAAGGGAAACATCTGGGAACTAAACATCAGGCATGTCTGAAGGGAAACATCCGAGAACTAAACATCAGATTGATTACGATTACATGATAAAACGGATTAGCTGTGGCAGCCATTTCGTTGTCCGCTCAATCAGCAATTCATTAATTCAGTATCGAAACGGTTGCAATAGAGACGATGTTACGAGTAAAACTGCAAACTATTAAAATACAAATAACGTATATTTATACCAGATT